CAAACAACTGCAATCATCACAAACACTAAAGTCAACGTAATCAAAGACCTTCAATCCTGAACGACTTTCAAAATGGGTTTATTAACTGCTTATTGGACTTTCTGTTGATATTGCGCGATGATCGGCCAGCTTGGTACTTCTTTTCATATTAGTTTAGCCGTCAATATGCTCACAGCCACGTGGATCAAGTGTCAGATCGTGTGATAACAACAATAACTTGCACGTGGACCCACGAGCGTGGGCATTTTAGGGTAGGGGCTCGAATACTTGAGAACAATATGAGTATTGGTTATTACTGGAATTTTCAACTGGAAAATTTTCAACTGGATCTTTGCAACTGGAACGAAAACCATCGGATATCATTTTTTAGTACCTCCAATCGGACGACATTACTCATCCGGCTCCCGTAATTTGCCGTTTATCCGTCGCTCAAAATTTTCAAAAGAGAAATTTTCAAATCTAACGACACTTTCTTTGAATACAGTTATCTCTGTCAAATCAGGCACTGAAGCTCTCACGCGTCTGCGCAAACGTCCACGTCTTGGTGGCATTCCAACAATAATCATAATAGACATTGATCACGAGGATAACCGTGAGTACATACGGCGAGAATCATATGTTCTCGACGTTACTAATGGCGTACCGATGAAACCGCTTAGTAACGGGAATGTATTGTACGGCACTTCTTTGTTAAAGTGTGTCAACGATGAAATCCGGCAAGGGTCTTTGGATCAAGTTATTCCTATTGGTAGGTCGAGTTGGTGATGGGTAATGCGGCGAAGGGTGAGGCGATAATAATGGAAGATTGTGAAATGCATTAAATATGAGGAACCAGTACAGGGAGAGAGTGGGTCGAAAAACGCGTAACACTGAATGTGAGAATGAGATATTCAAATTAATTGACCGTCAGTTGTGAAACTATTTGCTAACCCTCTTACTAATTTCTGCTAGTTTGTTCGTGGGGTGATTCCGTTGAATCAATGACAAGCTGCTTGAATATGGGAGCTGTTGATTATTTAATAAAACCTATTAGGCCAGAAGTGGCAAAAACTCTTTTTCTGGTAAATATCGTCAAGAATGCCAAGGAATGTCGTTCCAATCATGGCTAATATAAATGTTGCTGGTTGTGATTGGTTTATCCTTTTAGAATATATATCGTTCCGATTCGATGGTAAAGACTAGAGGATCGGGCATGGCATTAGAGTGCAAAAGACCAATAATCCGACGAAGCAAAAATTGGGACTGTTTAAAGACCCGATTACATGCAGTATTTGTCGAGGATAAGTGGTGCGTTAACTAGAGAGTGTCTTGAATCTTTGCACACTAAGATATTATCTAACTCGACCAATATTCCATCTTCTGCTTGAAGGCTCACCGAAGCTCTGTTTGAATATTACTCCCCTCCCGATTCCGTGTTAGCTATATCTTACTTTCCAAGGTTTGTTTTCTATCTGATATTGTTTGCATGTCCCCGGCTCGTTGTTGCATCGTTTCTTGCTAACTTTCTGCCATATATCACATGATTAGTCTGGACTCTGCTGCAGCGCTCGAGCGAATGAATTATCTGAAGAAGCAAATATCAGAGTGGGAATTTCCTCCTCCAGATCTGACAGAGGAGGATCTCCTTCGATGTGCAGTAATCATGTTTGAACACGTTTTAAGTACGGAAGAGCTTTCGCATTTGGATGTGTCAACCGGTAAGTAGAATTTTATTACGCTGTATTATGTGGATTATTCGGTTTATAAATGGTACACAACACTGGTGAATTTACATGTTTTCATATTAACTCTTGACTCATCAATTTTGTATTTCCTTTCTCGAAATAAAGAACAATTGCACCGATTTTTGTTGGCTATTCGGCAGTCTTACCACGATAGCAACCCATATCACAACTTTTGCCATGCAGTTGATGTCCTTCAGGCTATGTTCCACTTTCTCTGTAAAATGGGTCTCATACCGCCAATCTTCACCAGCAACAAACGGATTAGTAATCGTAGCGTAAACCAACAACGTCGGCATGTCAATGACTTGCTTAGACCAGCTGATATTTTTGCGTTGTTATTGGCTTCTATTGGACATGACATTGGTCATCCTGGAGTAAATAACAAATTTTTGGTGCGTGGCTAATACAATGAGTAAATGTCAGAATGAATGAAAAGCTACTGAATGCTATGCTAACTGAATTATAATATATTCATAGGTTGAAGCACGTACCCCATTGGCTCAGCTATACAACGACAGATCGGTCCTTGAGAGTTTTCACGCAATGGCATTATTTAATTTAATGGACAAATACAAGTTCCGTATATTCCAGGACGAAAGTAAATCCGGTAATGACTACGCAGGTGCGTTTTACAAACGCTCCCAACTTTGTAAGCTCGTCTCAAATAATTAATACGTTATACCATTTATTTATTAGAATTCCGAAAAGTTGTCTTGAACGCAATTCTCGCAACTGATATGGGCTTGCACAACGAGTATGTCACAAAAATAAAAGACTTGACTTCCCGATTTACACAGTCAGGTGTGGTCTCAACTTCTCCAGAGAGCTTGGAGCAAGAACGAATTATAGTCGTAGGTGCTCTCATCAAATGTGCCGATATCAGCAATACGGTAAGTGATCAAATGTAAAAAAGGTTTACCAGAAACAGCAAAGTAGATCAATTGAACAAGAGTAACCAACTATTTGGATCATTTATATCAGGCGAGGCCTTATCACATTGCGGAAGGGTGGTCTACCGTGTTATTGGAGGAATTTGGTTGTCAAGGTGATTTGGAGAAATTACTTGGATTACCCGTCGGACCAACAAACGATAGAGAGAATGTATCACAGCCAGGCTCCCAATTAGGTTTCATCGAAGCATTTGCCATGCCTTTATTTAGCAGTGTTTCCGAATTAATACCTGGTAAGAAAATCTTCCAGTTTTATAATACACGCTTAAACACGTGAGCTGTTTATATTTACTTTACCTTTCTATCTACCTAATCTGCGAATTTCCATAGAAATGAATTATTATATTCGCTTCCTTAGCCAAAATCTTAACACATGGAGGAGGAAAAAACAGGAAGAAAGCGAAGGCCATTCATCAAGACACAACAGTGAGTTGGACTCGAGTGTAACAGGTAAAGAAATAAGAATATGACGTCTACCATTTTTCCTAGGCCTACCACAATCTCCTCTCGTTTCTTCTTCCCACTTCCCATTCCACTTCTCCATTCCACCACCTTCTTCCTTACACTCTTTTTCCCATTTCCCGTCCCTCCCTCTCCCCAGCTCCACTAACACGCACCTCTCGCAAAATTCCCAGTCTCTCTCGACAGCAGACAAAACTCGCCCATAGTTCCAATACCGGTCCCCGCCGCCAAAACTCTCGAACGCGATTCAAGCGCGACTATTATCCGCCCTATTCCATCCGAAGGCCTCGTATCCGAAGCACTGTCCGAGGACGCCAAGTCAACTACGCGTGATGATCTCATGTCTACGGGAGCATCCGACTTTCCACTAACATCTCGACACCGAAAAAAGAAAAGACTTGGATGGAATCTGTTTAAAAAAATAAAATGGATGTCCCGCTCGAGGGCAAGTAATAATGCGATGGACGATGGCAATAGTCAGACTGTAGGTTCTACAGTGTCTAGCGACAAGCGCGTCGGGACGGGTTGTTGCTGTGTACAGTAATAAAATATTGTAGAGTTTAAGGGAGCAACTTGCGGAACTTGCTCTCTTTTAGATATTTGTTCAAGACGAGGTGAATTCGGCCTACAAAAAAAAAAAATCTTTTTCCTTTTTTTCTTTGCATTGAAAGAGTTCGTACATTAGTTGAAGATATACATAGATAAATAGATACACAAATACATATACACATACACATATATAATACTTGGTGCGATTCTCTGCAAGCACACACCCACCTTTCTCTGTTTGAGTGTTATTTATCCACTTTTCCTTTCTTCTACCCTTTCTGTATAAATAGCTGCATAACATGTATCGTAAATAAGCACGATCCGCATTACCACTTTTTTTTCTCTCCATCTCTCTTTTTCTTTAGAACGTTTCTCTTCCTCTTTTTCCTTGTACAGATAGAGTTGTATACCCTACTCTTCTTTTTTATCATTTTCCCCCCTTTCAGACTCTCGTCTGAATTTGTGTTTCTTGTACAGGATAGATAGACTCTATTTTCATTGTTGTAATACCCTTTCTCGAAAGAAGTATATTATAAAGTTTGTCTCATTTGTTATTATCGTTTTCTTTTTGTGAAAGGATTGAACGCGAGAATAGGGTAGGTGTGTATATTTCACTAAAGGATTAGCATGAACACGCGTGTAAAAACACAGCTTGTTGCATGCAATCTATCGATTATCCCCCTCCCCCATCGCCTATGCTTCATTTTGCACATTCTTGGTGCATCGGATGCTATCGTTTTTTTTCTAGTTTCCTTTTAGTTCGGTTAGATTATGCTATATCTACTGGTAGAAGAGCTTTGTTTAACAAGCTGGTTAGATTTTTATTTATCATAGCATCTCTGACAACAAAACGGGAAATATTAAAGAACTCTTTTTGGTGGCGCTGTTGACGCGACTAGGTAATATTGTAACGATACCAGTCGTAGTAGGTTAGAATTATAGGGAAGGGAAGTAAAAAAAAATGTCCCAAAAAATAGTATATTTCAATAAATGAAAACCTTTTTGAAAAATAATCGGAAAAATACTGTGTCACGTGATATAATTATGGATAGTCTTTGTATTATTTCCAGCACTCTATCTAGAAATAACAATAGTAATGTAGTATGGATAATATATATATATATATATATATATGTCTATCATCAGTCATTATCGTCATCATCACTGTCTTTGGGTGTACTTGCATTTTGGTTTGACTGTTCTAACCTATCAACTATTTCAATTGCTCCCACTGAGGCCAAAAAATTTTCAACAGCTGAAATAGATTGAATATCAATTATTAATTACATATTTTACAGACGTGAAACACTAGCGTTCACTCACCTTCTATTCCTCCACGATCTCCACCTAATTGAGCCAGCCCAACAACCTGCGCTCTGATATCACCCTCTCCATAAACCAACAGGGTGGGGAGGTTTTTATCTGGATAATTGGGAATACATTGATCTCCAATTATTTTAACGAACTTTGTTGATTTGTATTTTTTAGAAAGAGTATTCAGATAACTATTAACAAGTCTGCAATGAGGGATGCTGTCGAATAGAAGGGAGTAATTAAGTATATTATTACATTCCAATGATAAGAAACAACTTTTTTTTTTGTTTAGTTTACTTACTCATCTCTGTATAAATGCACAACGACCCAATCGTCTTTACTTGCTTCACTGACTTCCTTTACAAACTCGGGTTTGGATATATGTATCACTTCACCATACTTCTCCCGCATAGCCTGAGCCTTCATCTCAGCAATACGCATTCTTCTGATTAACCGATAACGTCGTTAGACAAACAGCCAAGAACAAATTCAAACAAGAACCGTCACGTTGTTTCATTTCATTAACATATCACCTATACTCCATCAACACCCTCTCATCCTCTTCATCTTCCAATTCATCCAACTCGTCAAGTTGTTTTTCTTCCAAATGCCTATCCTGCGCAGCAGCTATCGCTCTATCCATCTCATCCGCAATCTCCTCCTCGGTTGGACCTGGTCTAGGCGGGAGAATACCTCTGGCACGGAGGATGTCATTCCTACAATTATGAACGGTAAATTAGATCAAAGAGACAATTCCGAGTGGTATGGAAGAGAAGCATAAACTAAATACCATTCTGTATCGGCATTTGGATCTTGCATTATGATATTAATCGGAGTATAGAATCGAGTATGTGAGTTATGAAAGAATGGTTGTGTAAGCTGTTGATGTTCTTTTATATGCTCAATGACTTATACGTAGCAACGCTTGCATATTGGGTGAAGCCAAGAAAACCACCGCTTGGCCCGATTAAATACTGATTGAACGTTTAGTACGTGACTAGGATCAAAATTTTGTGCTAAGGTTATGAATAAAATACCAGCCCAAGAACTCAAATTCATGGCATATTAATATGTCAATATTGAGTCATTGTTGGCAACTCTCAATAGAATTATCGACTCCGGTAACACGAAAAACTGCGCAGATTACGGCATCTCTGTCTGTTTGCCAATGTACAATGTATCGTACGCCAACTCCATGAATGATATCTAGAGATCATTTATCTGTTCCACAATTTCTTATGGTGATGAGACCTTCGTACATACGATCGAGTAAACTCATACGAGTAATGGAAAATTCTTATCAAGAACAAAATATTAGTGCTTATCTAATAATATTATTACAATGGATACATTCTATCTTCAGGGCATAAATGCGAATTGAAAGATATTACTGATCCCTTTACGGTAATATTAATATCGATAGTAATAGTTACAGATAAAGCTGTATTGTTATCTGTTCTGATATTTGTATGGTCGTACAGGGACGTTGGAATCAACTTTAATATATAGCATAAGGTCATGTGTTCGGGAACCATATGCCAGCTGCGCACGTATCAACCTTCTTAATACAGGGCTCGCTGAATGTAGAATTTCTTCCCTCGTATCAGATCCACTGGATGAGCTCTTTCTCTAATATCGTGATCATGATTCTAAGTATAAAGATGCTAGATTATCGCTTACGTACGTATCTGCAAGGAGCATGTGTACGAGTTTTTCAATGAACTCTCAACCATGATAATAAACCTTTATTACAAATCGAATAATAGAAGGACGGCGATAAAATAAGTATAGCAACGAACGCAATGTTGGCATCATTGCACTTTGTAACTTTCATTATGCTGTGTAGAACAATGTGTACATTCTTCTGCAATTAATTTATTACTATTACGTCCATCCGAACCCAGTTTACAATAGTTATAATAACCATTTACTAACCACGGCTGGCCGAGCTAAGCCTAAATCAGATGAGGGATGAAAAAGCTCGCATTGCTTTTACATTTTTTACGCTCCAGTTTCTGCAGGTTATTTGAATAATGTTCATTGCCCTTTAAGGCACAATAACCTGTATAAATTATCGTCCAATCAAATCCCACGTAGGCAACACTCACTTTTCTGAATTTGAAAAATGTGCTTTTGCGCTTCCCTACTCTCGCTCTCAGATGACTAATTGATAATTAGTCATTATACGACATTAGCGTATCTCTGACTATTCCCGGCGAACGGCTAAATACGATATCGAAGCACGGGCCACATTACTTGACGTCAATTAAATGGTCGAAGAGGCAATGTATTTATCCGAATGTTCAAGACTATGATAATATATATAATTTATAATAATATACAGTAATAGTAAATAAGGCACAGCAATTCAAAAGCTAGTAAAAAAAACAACAACTAAATAACGGGTAACAAATATCCGCTCGTCTTAATAGCACGATATCTTATCATAATTTTAATAACTTAAACAAAGTGGTCATGGATTCACACACTCTCTTCGCAAGTGAACATATGCAAACAGAATTATGGAGCTCATACTCGAGAACGCAAATCTTTTTTATGGTCTTATCGATTGCATGGTGGTGTTTTATGATGGGGTTTGCTACACTTGGATTATCAATTGCGTGAGTATATTGGTGCAAATTTGCGGTTCATGTAGATAAGAGAGAAACATGTGAATGTTTGAATTAATAGGCTTGGGTTGTTTATTGCTGGTGACGAATTGAAAGTGTAATTGGACAAATGGGGTAAAAACAACGAATGTTTGCTCACTGATTTTGTATCAAACAACTTTTATTTTATCTTTTCAGTTGGTGTTGCTACTCTAAACTTGAACGTTCTAAATCGTCACAACTGCCCCCCGATAAGACGGAGGGTGTATCGATAATACGGCCATTGAAAGGATTGGATTGTAATTTGTACGAGAACCTTGCATCTTCATTCCGTCAGGACTACCCAAAATTTGAGATAATATTCTCGGTTGCGGATGAAAACGATCCTGCAATCAAAATAGTAAAAGACTTAATAAAGAAATATCCGAAAGTGGATGCTAGACTGACAATAGGTTTGTATTTGCGAGTTACAAACATCGCGTTTGATTCTATAATATACCACAGGCTTTCAACAAACGCATGTACTCATAATCCCCTTATCTGAATCTCGTTATTACCTCCTTCTTAATTAGGCGAACGGAGAGTTGGTGTGAATCCAAAGATAAATAACATAATACGTAGTTATGAATCAGCTAAATATGACATTCTCTGGGTAAAAGACTCTAACGTCTATGTTGATCCGGGATGCTTAAGCCGTTCAATTGATAAACTCAATCAGCCTAATGTTGGTCTAGTGCATCATCTGCCATTTGCTGTTCGCCCGGATACATTTGGGTCTGAATTAGAGATGATATTTCTCAACACTATGCATGCGAAGATGTACCTATCAATCAACTTCATAGGTCCAGATAGTTGTGTAGTTGGGAAGTCATGTGTATACCGAAAGAGTGATTTAGAGAAAGTAGGCGGACTAAAATATTTTGGGAAATATATGGCCGAAGATAATTTGTTGGCAAGAGAATTGTGGAGAATGGGATATAAACATGCAATGACAGGTGACCTAGCATATCAACCGCTCGGGTCAACATCATCCATAGATTATTTCATGAGAAGGTCACGATGGACGAGAATACGTAAATACACTGTCACCGCTGCTACTGTCGTCGAACCATTCACAGAGTCGATCGTGTGTGGACTATGCTCAGCTTACGGATTCAATTTACTCTGGAACATCCACCCGCTCAACTTCTTTGCATTTCACCTTATTACTTGGTTCATGTTCGATCTGGCACTATTTCAAGCATTGAGCAAGAGAATAGTTGAAGTGGAGGATATACGCGGATTCATCATGGCGTGGGCTATAAGGGAGATTACCGCATTACCATTATATCTATATTCAATTGCAGGATCCACCGTCGACTGGAGAGATACTACTTACTTATTAAACAGTGATGCGACGGTGGCCATCGTGTCCCCATCTAAGCGGAAGCAACATTCTTTATCTGCTATTACACCTCCCAACACTCAGACACGAAGAATGTCCTCCTCAAACGTACACCCATGGTTAGTCTCTATTCTTTCTTCGATTATACTGGCAATTGATATTGTATTGGACATTCTGCTTAAAAGTCAAAGGAATGGTAAACCATCGGAGAGCAAGACCGAAAAAAAAGAGGAGAAGCACCGGAACATCAGGAAACGACGTCGAAAGAATGATGCCGATGAAACAAATGGGAATAGTTCGGATGAAAGAGAAATGGCCAACCAGGATGATCCAATCCTTTCTGCAGCTGGGAGATATTTACGTAGTTCACTCGGCAGAACCAGTTCGTACCTTGGAGTACCATACAATGAAGATGAAACGGATTCCTCACCAGACGAGTCGAATTTTTTGTCCAATCAATGTCTCTCTGACGACGAACAATCAACCTCTTCCTATCCTCCGTCATCTTCGTCGCCCCCTCATTCAAGTCCAATTAATGATGCATCACATAAGCGATCGTTATTGAACGAAATTTTGAGAAGTGTGTCTATTGGATTATCGATGCACTTGCAAAATGAGAAGAATGTAATCGAAGGACATCGTAGAGAAAGACGTTCATCTATTAGTGTTGCGCGAGAGAGTTTAGAGAATAGTGGCGGTGAGAGGGTTAGAGGAAGAAGTATGTCTATAAATGTGTTGACTAGCCAAGAAAGTTATTGAAAGTCTTTTGTTGCAGCTCATTATAATGTAATGGCGCATATGTAGAGATATATACCATCTGAGCGGACTGTAATTATGTTAGTATTATCGAATCTATCAGCCCCTGCATTACGCTCTGAGAAATAATGGGTGGTGATAAATAAAATATCCATGTTCGAGAAGTACGCTTGATACTATGTCCGACAATCAAACGTGCTCGCTCGTTCTATTAATCGGTAATACGCACCGCAGAACGTGTATACTATCATGTATGAGAGCATACATTGTACTTAATACTAGAATAAATAGGACACCCTATGTGTCTACTGTAGGACATCCTTCCCTCCACAAGGGGGCTTTGCGAAAGAAGACGACAAAAGACATCAAACTTGGAAGTCCAAAAGAAATAGCTTTTTATATACATTAATGTCTGTGAAACTTCGGACAGTTCTAGAAAAGCGAGAGATAAATAGTATAAAATTGGACATTAATGTTCTGACCCAATTCGATATAGGGCGTTGTCTAAATATCACTCCAATAAACGATATCTAATTGCGATCTGGTTCAGAACATATACTGTATATTGATTTTGTATATCTGCGTATGGTACAATTAATTGTGATCGATTCATGACTTTCATCTGGTGATTTGCATTCTTTATTAGTTGCAAACAAATGCTAAAGGTGCAATGACTTTCACGTAATACATTGCTAGAAGGCGGCAATTTTTCTTTCATCGCTGCTTTTCCACCTGCTCATAACTTATTGTCTATAGAGAAAACCTGCCGTAATCTCTTAAGAAATTCTTTAATACAAGTACATTTTTACAATGGCTTTTATGAATTAAACAAAAAAATTTTTTGGTACTAATACTTTTAGCTTAAAGTCCATCTATTACATAATTCATACACCAAACTTTTTTCTTCACGATACCCTTTCTCCCTCCATTTCGAGAGACTCGAATTACTGTGTAATTGCTCGTCACCTTGTTAGCTGGTGGTGACCGCGCTGGATTGATCTTGATATTAACTTCCGCACCCTCCCAGTTTCTATACTGCTCACCATTCGACAACATTATCCAAAACCATCTCCTCGGTCAACCAATCCTCTTCCAATTCCTCATCCCCGTCAATCTCCTCCCAGTATTGATATATCCCTTCCAAGTAAGGCTGAGAGTTTTTTAATCGAAACGGATCAAATGGAAAGAATAAAAATTCATCCAAATTCGTAGAGAAATTATCGTCCTTTCTCCATTCGTCGTTTCCATCTGAAGATAGTAAAGACTCGCCATAGTCACTCATCAGACCGTAGACAAACATAAAGTCAAGTGCATTGGTTATGCGAGCAAATTGTTTTACTATATTTCTGGAACAGATCTGATATGAAACATGTGGAATGAAGAAGATTTGCGATTTTAGTAATAGAATTAAAAAAAGACAAGCTATTAACAAACAAAACAGACAAACATAATTAGTGTATCAACTATGCTTGCAATAATAAGTATTGCTCTCTTAACGTATTGTTAATGCATCAACTTGGTCTATCATTTTCAAAATATTACTCAAGTCTTACCTCAAGTGGTTTGTACGCGGAAGCAAGCACATGAGGGAACGGTGTCAACTCACTGCACCATCTCCGTCTCGTAATACCATCCTTACAAACAATATCTACCATCAAATCTTTCCACCGAAAACAAAATACATACATAGTCGCCTGTACAACAGCATAAAACACGCTATTTGCCACTTTATCGGGCTCATTTGCGGTCAACTCGTTCACCTTCACATATTCCTTCAACCACTTCGAGAGAAACCCAATTGATCTTCTTACGGTATCTCCATCCAAATACTTTGCTCGTGCCACATAAGATCCGAGATACAATGCAGCAGCTACTCTTATAGGCACTGGATGCAGAGTTGGATCAGATGAAGATATTATATTGTGAAGAAGATCTAAATATTCACGAGCAAAGGACAAGCTTTTCCCAGTGTACCAAAATATTATGAATTGAGTATATCGGGACTTGAATGTTCTGAGAATAAATTTTTCATAGATATTAAGAAGAATTGCTAGCAGCTGTTTTGAGGTTGCAAAGTCATTTGCTGCTGTTGCATCTTTGTAGTGCCAATGCATATAATCAAGCACTAATTTGATCATACAGTCCAGTTTTTCCATCATTTCTTTTATATCGTACGATATTTCCTTTACATTATCATCATCCTCATCCATATCATTATTCTCAGGATATGATTTCGTTATATCTTTGCTGGTATCATTGATAGACACTTCCTTAATGCTACCATCTTTTTTAATAACTTTTATTGTCTGATCAACTGTTGTTGAATTTAATTCTGCTACATATAGTTCCATCTCATCTTCTAGTTCCTCTAGGTCTTCGAGTCTTCCTTGTATTTCAACCTTAATAAGAAAATAATAAGCAAATCAGTCAACCATTTATGCATGCCAAACACAGATATAACATCGAGGACCATCTTTGTATTATTCTTGACAACAGCTTACATCAATTTCGATAATCCTCTGTATTGTTTTCTCAAGAAGCTGACTTTCCAGATGTGGAGCATATGCCAAAAGTCGTAGAAGATTCTGTACATACACCACCTGAGCATCAAGTGGCTCGCTTTTATGAGGAAATTCGCTTGACAGTATTGGAACAAAATTCAGTGATGCAGTCGGACGTGTTGACAGCACGTATTTTAATGCATGGTGTACTCGTTCATGTCTTTTCTCAATCGACGTTGAGTGGAGATCTCTTTCCGTTTCTTCAGTACAAATATACAGACAGTGCAGTTAGTATATCTCAACCAATCGATCCATTGCCCAATAGATCACGCATTCAAACATTTAATTAGATGACTTACGTAATAAGAGACCTTTTACCAGCATTCGTAACACAGGCTTCAGGAATGCAGGATGTCCTGTTGCCAAATTCCCTAAAAACATCGTATAAACATGCGCCAACATGTCATCGAACCCAGTCCAATCAATAGATAACACAGCGTCAACTAGTTTAAACGACGATCGAGACAATGTTGGAGCCACTCTCGACAGTGCTAAAATCCACAAGTGAAATCTACGCAATTGCGATGCAGTTTCCGGCTTATTTCTCAAAGTTTGTACTATTGTCTCATAGTCTTCGTTCTTTCCCTAATCAATGATAGTGTATAAATTTAACTATTTGCCAGTTTTATCTGTCTTATATGCATGCATTGCAACTTGTTTACTAGAAAACCAGTTTGGTATATACACTTCAATAGTTACCTGCTTCTGCTTAATGACAGCATTCTCTATATATGTGGTTGTAAATTCTAATTCTCTTTTCCGCGCTTCAAGAACAGCCTCTTTGTCGCCACGAGGCACTTTATTCACACTAGTCATGCCTCTTATGAAGTCGACACTAGGAACGTGAACAAAGCTGATAGGTTTTTCAAATTAAATAAGAAAATCAGTTGAGGTTACTTTTCCTCCACTCCGTAGCTTGATGAGAAAAAAAAAATTTTTTTTCAAAAGGGAAATAATGTTCGTCACATGAGTTAGTGAACTTCTACAAACGAGTTTGTATTACCTTCCTTAAATGTCTGAGAATACGCCATCGCACGAATGGGAATTAAGGATAAATTTCCGGTTCTTGATATTAATATAGTTAACACTAAGACTGTTAACCCCGTGTTTTCTCTTACTTCCAAGATTTCTAAAATAGTAAGTACAGACTGAAAATTATCATATACATGTTTGGAATTGTTAAGATAGAATCAAATGCCCTTTTATAATAATTGTCGGACTGGTTTTTCGCAGGCGGTTATACGCGCCTCCAGTGACAAGGGTAATGTAACATTTATTATAAATGCCTGCAACTGTCTCCGTTCACGTGTCTAGACGAATAATAAACTATCGTTGCTTCTGTTCTAACATAGGGGGATGTAGAAGACGACAAATCCTCTTGCATTGATGCTGTTGTGATAGTATTTGCGATTACTATATTATGACTGATTTACCGAATTAACAACAATTTCGTAACTTTTGTATTAATTATGAATATTGCCTTCGTTGTAATAGTCCGTGAATTTTTAAGCATCCGAACTGTAACTTCTTCATTTTGGTTAATCATAAAATCAAGTTCTTGCATAATTGTAAGTTGTTTCATAAACTCATCCTGGAGAAAAGTATCTTTAAGTGATATAGAAATAATAAGAAATGCACCTGCATTACTACTTACGTGAAAAAGTGTCATAAGACAAAGAACTCTTTTGTATTTTGATCTACCTTCAAATAAAAAGGAATTATGGCAGAAGCTAGCTCGGATGCCAAAAAGGAAGCATTATCCGACATACTAAGAGAATATAATGTAATTCGATAATCTAACGATCAAATACAATACCGATCAATAACGTGAAGTTCTCATTTTTTTTAAAAAAATAAATCTACCGATAGTGAACATTATAATAATTTCTTGGTGTCACCGACTGCATGGTCTTTTGTTGGCGATGATGGTGGTCCGGCAACTTCCATGTGCCATACTTTTTTGTCATTATATAATCGGACACCTTTCAGTATTGGTTGAAATTTTAATTTCATCATTTTCGCTAATAGGAGTGAGATTCTATCCAGTCAATAGTTATATTTCCAAATGTCGTTTCGTAAAATTTAAATAGTGAAGATAAATTTTGTATGACATATTTTCTCTCCCCGATTTTTCTTGAAAGGTTTGGAAAAACATCTACAAGACATACAAATTTTTTCGCGATATAAACGGAGCTTGTTTTCATCGTCTCCTTCAGTCTTTAACATTGGGCACACTGCAACAAAACCAGACCAAGTAAACATATGAGTGTATGAGCTAAAATGGTTGATGTATCTGAAGTAGAAGGGTTATTAAATTCTTGATCTTAACTTTTGCTTGACGTATGTTGATATCAATAGTAATAGCAATCTTTCCATTACACGGATATCTTTCAATCGGAGGTCTTGCTTCTTCGTCGGTCGATTGTCTGGACGTATAGATTTTCGATCCATTCTTTGAGCGCAACCAAGATATACTGTTGCTTGTCCAGTATTATTTTTACGACAATAAATTTTTCTAATCTCCCAATAACAGTAATAGCAAGATCCAGCTTCAATCGGTAAGAGAAAAAAATAGATTGTATTACGAAATTTGTCTTCTCCCATAGTATCGCAATCGTTATTGAAATTATCAATTAATTCATCTTCAAGTTCGAAGGTTTCTGAGAAATTTACTTCCGTGTTTTCTTCGATGTTCGTAAAATATCTAATTCGGCCAATTCGTATATAACCTTGTCTTCATTATATTGATTTCTTCTTCCAGATCGCTGTTTTCATCAAGAGCATATTCATTGTCTTCATTAGATCTCAAAGGTCTTTTTCCCTTTTTTTTTTCTGAACAATTATTGCATATAATGAATTCCTTTACTCGGCTTCCATGCATGGAATCGTATAAATTCCCCGATCGTTGTACAACGAGAGCACAGTTTGCTTTGTATATTGTCGAAAACACCGCTGAAGAAACCATTTTTTGAATAAGCTGTGTTTAAGTGTGATTGAAGGATATAAGATTGGATTTCGTGCGTTCGACTGTTCGATTAATAGTAATCTTTCGATTTTGTTAACAGAACAATTCAAATATTGCAATAATTTAACGTGTTTCGAATTTTGAAACCCCAGATCTTTTATAACAATTTTATTACGCTGCACACAGTACAAACACAATGACATGTTAATAAAGAACGCGAATTTCTAATACAAGAACAAAGTCACAAGATACTACAAAACTAGATTAACTACATAGCGGGTACGATTACGAAGTCACTGCAAAGATATTGACTTTTGAAATGTTACAGCGCGTAAATGTAAAACTAACGTTTTCTTATTCAATGCGTAAGTACAATGTAACGTATTTCCTTTATCTGATGCGTAAGACTTTATTTCGACGTGACTACAAAGTAACGTTAGTCTTTTCTTCACAACAACGATAACAGCGAAAGCTTTTCTTTATATTTGATGTCTTTACGATAATTATATGATTGCCTATTTTGGCAGCGTGTGACTATTTTTTTGTTTACCCTGGATATATTTGGACCTACTCGCCACACTAGCCATATTACTCACAGTCTTAATCATTGACTGCCTTTTTTCTTCTGACTTTGAGAAGGCGGGCCTGTTCGTGTATTTCTCTTTCGAATCGTGAGAAAAAAAGGGTTATTTCTCGCCGGCACTTTTCACATTATGGTCCTATTTCACATTTAACGAAGAAAGTATATTTATGCTGACTGCAGTAGATTTTTTTGCAACTTAACAATTTCGGTTGGAGATGCTTTGAACACCGTAGGATATAGATTTTCTCAGAAGAATATGCACTTTCTTATCGATTCTTTATGCTCCTTACCACATACAGGGCAAGGAGTTCTCTAAGTAAAACCATGAGAACTTACTTTCAAAGCATTTTTCAAGATAGCTCTCAATTTTTGTCCACATAGACGTGAACTCGGTTATTGCAAAGATTGCATCAAGATAGCTGATATACACGTAGAATAAAGTAATCAAATTGATGTGCTCCAAATTAGATGCTTATTCCGAATATATGGACTCACCGAATAGCTTCCTCGTTATACATTTGATGCTTATTCGGAGTATGAATAACAGTGTCTATATTTGGGAACTGAGTAGCGGCCTCACTGTGTTTCCATTTTCTCATCAAGCTGACTCATGAACGATAATTTTATAATATGCACTGACTTTCAACTTAGGTTCCTTTACGCATTTAAGGTCATTGGTATCATTTACAATATGGACATGCTAGACATACTGTATTTATGGATTCTGTTTTAGAGAAACGAGAAACGAACATAATTATACAGTATCAGCGAAATTTTTTTGTTAAATTACGTCACGCGTCAGACGTCGAAAATGAACTAACACGTGATTTTGAGAAAGGCATAGGCATTTCTCCTTTATTTTTGGTACAGTATAAGTAATATTAAAATAAATAAAATAAATTCATCGCTAACATAAGGTGATGGTCAGGCCAATGCTCTGATGGTAAGCCACGCATATATTTCCTTCTTTGTGGTCAATCATTTTTGAATGTCTGTGCTCCATTTGTCCATTTGCTGACTAACAAAATTTGCTCACATACACAAGAATTAATCTTTGGAAAGGATCGGCGAAAAATATCCAACCTCCGTCGATCGCGTGAAAAAAACTAGTTTTAACCTTTTCGCTCATGATATGGCGTCACAAAAAGAACTCTCAAGCTCTTCCACGGCCTCTTCGACAACCTCAGCTACCTCTCCCTTAACGCAACCATCACCTGGACTAAAACCATGCTGTGCGTGTCCCGATACGAAGAGAGCAAGAGATGAATGCATATTCCATAAAGGCGAGGAGAATTGTAAAGATCTGATTGAGGCACATAAGACGTGTATGAGAAATTTAGGCTTTAAGATATGACATTGATGGCTCCCTAGCGTCAATTGAAGTGAGAGAAAGAAGTGAGACTGCGCGCAAGTTGGTTTCATAACAGAAGTTTCAGTGAACTTATTTATATCCGTTTTTAAAGAAACGCAGCTGATGTGGATTAAACTTATTTGTAATTGTTACCCGTGAATCAGAAAATACACCATTACTCAGAGCATGTCAATGTCATTTATTATGTGATATTAGGGACCAAATATAATTTCTTTCACATCAACATATTATCACAATTAGTACCCTTTACTTTGAAAAGTGCTTCTCTACTGTTCGTATATGACATTAAAAAGCCGTACGGAATGATCTGTAGCACAACTTGCTAGTTGTAGTGTGCCCACATCGTTATTTTGCGGTTTCCGCCACACGAGTCGAGTGACAGTTGAAATATGCGATAAACTAAGGAAGAGAATGAGTAAGCAGTGTTCTACGGGCAATGTACTTCAATTATCATGAACTTACTACTTCTCTACTGCATGCAAACATGTCCATTTAGATGCATCTGATAATTTCGATTGATACAAGAGGATATCCCCATTCTCAAGTCCAGCTGCCAAGATATAACTGAATATGAACAAATGACTCGAGTTAGACAATAACAACTGTAGGAATAACGTATCATGTAATTAAAGTAATAATCTTGCTCATTATCCAAACTTCTATTCCAATTGCTCACCATCCATTGATGAGACATCCAGCAAAATCCAAAGCAGTTACTGCCTCGGCAAACTTCAAAGTAGTCACCGCAGACCACGAGCTAGAATCTTTGTTTTCAACTTGACGCCAGATTTTCACCTATTAAATGAAGGAAAATCGAAAAATGAGGAGATGATAATTCAATACGTAAGATATATTGCCTACTCACGCTCTTGTCTCTGGATCCAGTAGCAAACAATAGGTCATCATGACTCCATGAACAATCCCATATTATCCGTGCGTGTGCTTTGTTCTTTGTGACCAATTTGTATGGAGGAACTATTTGAACAATCGATAACACTTATTGTACGTACGGACAACGGTAAACGTCATTATGTGTCGCATAACTACCTGCTTCACATCTCTCGAACAACGACCACATTCTATCACGGGATACTGTTAACAAGTATCTATCACTATGTGAGAATTGTATTTGGGTTACAGTTAGAGAGTGAGATTGTAATGGATTGAGAATCTCTTTCCATGTTGCGGTGTCGAAAAGACGTATTACTGCATGCTCTGGCGTTGTTGCCTTCGATAAGAAGAAGATGAAGATCGGTTTAGTACGAAGTTGGTGATGAAAACTTTGTCAGGATCTGCTACAACTAACCTTACAAGAAGAGGCAACAATCTTTCCGTTATGGCTGCTAGCAACACTGATCAACTCATAACCATGCCCATATCTACGCCCATGTGCAAACAGTAGTAATATGACAGTTATTTACTACTATGACTTTGTACCCCAGCAAAACGTCGTTCTGCACGTCATATTCACTTACAGCTTATAAATTTCAGGCCAAAGCGTATGCTGCAACAGATGCTCCTCGAATGGTGGTCGTTCCATAGTCTCGGTTAAAGAACTGGGTGTTGCGGAGGGATTTGCGTAGCTCTGTCGATTGAGAAATTCTTCGTTTTCCAACTTCTCGATGTCTGATTCGAAGACCGCCTTGTTGGACAGGCCCAATGCTGGGAGATTTGCTCCTATCGGGCGAGATGACGACTGATATGAGAGAAGAAGTGAGACGGGTCAGTAAAGAGAATTAAAAGTAGCAATGTCATGGGTGACATTGTATACCCACCGCTTCCTTGTTTGTGCTGAGAGAATTTGTGAGCTTAGATAGAGATTCCACAAAAGTCTTTGGTGCACTGAATGCACGAATAACCTAAAAATAATAAATTTCGATTAGCCAAAACTCATATGTCGCTTATAATTTATCTCAGTATTTGTTTGCCGTTCTTACCTTCTCATCAGATCCGCTAACATATTTCCACTCGTCTACAAAACTGATACACTGAATATCATAACCATGAATTTGTGGTCTGGCGATCTCATGCCAAGTCATTAGCTGCTTGCCCTCGTCTGTGTTCCGTCGCCAGGGTGCATATAGTCTTGCAGTCTGATCAAGGCTAGTTCGAAGAATGTTAGTAGTGTGATAAACTAATACAGGACAGAGTGAGCTTTGCAGGAATACCTGACGGAAACAAGAAATCGAAACAGGGGGTCCCAAGTGATACTCTGAACAGCTTTGAAATGACCGCTTATTGATATCTGCGGTCGCCAATGTTGATTATCTTGTGAAATAGATCGTTGGGATACAAATAAATAAATAATAGATTCTAGTGAATATGTAAACTTGCGATCTCAATATCCCGTATCAACCTTCATTCTCAGTAATCATCTTCCATAAATGGAAAGCTCCAGTATGTCCGTGTGCTAAAATATGCTTTCCATCGGGTCCAAATAACCCGCCATAGAGTCCAAGGGCATAACCACCAATCTCCCCAACTCGAACCTAATTACATTTCATCTTATGCTTTCAGCGTTCAGATCAATTGGCAAGGGTACAAAGCGCGAGATACATGGGATCATACCGAATTAACCCATATTCCAGTGTCAGGTTCTGGTTTCCAGATCATCATAGATTTGTCTGATGAAGAGGTTAGTAGGCAGAGTGGCTGATGATAGACTAAATTATTGGTCGCGTCTTATTGAAAGGATGTTAAAGTATTTTAGAATGAGTTATTAGTTTGATTGTGGAATCAAAATGATAGCGATTAAATACCTTTTATGAAGCGCGCAGGTTGCCAATCAACACTGTAAACCCAATCATCATGGCCCATGAGCAAAGCCTCGAACATTATGCTATATCGTTGTCTCCTATAGTAATTAAAATAATTTCAGTATAACATATGCTTCCGGTACACCGACTCTAGAAGACGTTCAATCTATGAACCTCTTGGTCTCATCTGCCTGTCTAGACACGTCAACCTCGATAATATGAGCACGGGTACTTAGCTGTACCTTATCATCTGATCTACAGAACAATAACTGTGTCAAATATTCCCCATTTTCACATAATGCAACGTAATTATGTAATGATACTTTACAACGCGCTCTCCTGTAAAGCAGAAATAATGTCATCTGTCAATATCCCACTGTCGTTTTCCTTCTTTACGTAATCGCCGCCTTTCTCCGTCGCATATTCCCCCGTCGTTTTATCTTCGCCGTTCATTTCTTCACCAATACGGGAAATCTTCCATAACCTCACATATTTATCCTGCGATGCACTGGCGAGCAGAAGATCCCCGTCGCATATGGCATACACATTCTTCGGTGACTCAGTAGAAGCTGAAATAGAAGACGCGGTGGATGCAAAAGAGAGAGATCGGATCCAGTTTTCATGTCCTTGGAGTGAAATTGACTCTACAAACTAGTCACGAATCGAGGAAATAAGCGGATGATGGAGACCCAAAATGATAGACCAGATAGTTATCCATTATCGAATACATATGTTTGTACCTTTCCGTCAACCATGATATACAATACAACGCGTCTTTCTGTGCCTCCAGCTGCTAAGATGGGAACTGGATATGATCCCAACGTTAAATATGATGTACATTCCATAAATCAGTTTGTGAGATGTATCTACCTTGAGTATTGGGCAAGTAAGTAATTGCCAAAGCCAGCGGATACTTAGTCTCACAGTCGATTGTCTGCAAGCATTCAACCTTATCTACAGATTCCAAACGGTATGGATTCGCCGTATATCCCACACAATAAAACCAAATATGAATTTGATATTAATACGCTCATATAAACATTGTTTGCACAAACCTTCTGTTTCATTTTCGATCGTTCGTTCCCATATCTTAATAGTACCGTCAGCTGATCCAGTAGCCACAATATCGCGTCCAGTCAGTATAGATCGGGCACGAACGACACCAAGTGTGTTTATCGAACCAGAATGTCCTAGTAATACGGCCGAACTAACGTACTAAAAATATATACGACAATAAATAAAATCTTTATTTTCTGAATCTCGCCGGTGAGGAAAAAAAAAGAAGACACTAAAATACAATTGTGAGGATAGATCTTCAAGAAAAAGCAGATTACCCTCCCGGTAGAAGTTTTCTTCCAGATTCGCGCGGTTTTATCTGCGGATCCAGAGACTATTGCAACGTTTGTTTGTTCTCTTTCGTCACCTATGTTATGGTTAATAATTGGATGAGATAATTCGTTGATCGCAGGTTAATATTTGTTGTTATTTACTACCCCTACCTCTGTTAATGAAATCGACACAATTGACACATGCAGTGTGCCCAGATAACGTTACTACGACGCCTCTCGCTTCTGGATTCTAATTGATTAACATGATATAATTCAGAATATCTAAGCGAAACTAATCACTCCGCAATCGTGTTACTCACCGTAGGATAGTACAGTGCAACAAAATTGTTCGCGCCATATGCCACCAATCCATTCTTTGCCCACGCTGCTACTTGGGCTACTTTGTTACAGCCAATACTAATAAATTCCGTTGCTATTTTTATTTTTTGTGACATTATGAATAAGAATGAATATGGGTATAATGCACAATGTTGATTCAAAGCTGTAACAATTCTCTTGTGAAGAGCAATCACATCAATTGTTTAGATTGTGTATGACTTCTTTTCAATTATTTGGGTAACAATGCAAATGCAATATAATATTATGTAGCCAAATCCTTTGTCGTTTCAATGTTGTGTCACATCGATGCAGAGCATTCAGTCTTGTTTTATAAATAATCTGCGGAGCATGAAAGCAAGTATAAAAAAGCTTCTAACGCTTTTAATCATTTAATCTAAAATAAAAAGAAAAACAAACCATAATGGAAGGAGGAAAGATAATCGACGCATCATTCTCAGTTCTTGCGGCTGTGGGTACAGTCTCTCGCGGCGCTGCCAATGTTGCCGAATGCATTACACCGTTTCTTCCTCTAATCAGCACAGTAACTGACGTGGTGCAGGAAATCATAAGTATGTATCAAGAGGCAGAGCATAATAAGCGCATTTGCAGTGCATTGTTCGATCGAGCTGCATTAGCAGAAACTGCAGTCAAGAGTCTTCAATTGAAAGCAAGAGATCATGAAGCGGAATTGTGGTCACCGGAATTTTTCCAGAATTTTAAGAAATTCGTGGAAACTATCAAGAAGATTAGAACTTTTGTTAAAGACATTTACCAACTTTCAGGTTGGTATCTGACGTTGCAAATTGAATTGAAGGCTTAAGAACTCTTTGAAAAAAAGAGTCTGAAGTCGTGTAAATAGCTGCCGATTATTGATCATTCTCAAAAACAGGATTGAAAAGGTTTATGATGTCTCACGATATCGCGGGCCGATTTAACGAATTAAGCCAAGAGTTCGATGGCCAAATAAGAGTCTTGAACTTTGCATTGGCTGTTCAAACGCAACAAGATACTGAAGCCATTGCGGCAGACATGAAAGAACTCAAAGCCGTACGTTTTATTTCGATTACATTCACATCTCAGTCAGCGCAATTAATCTTCATTCTCTGAAATTACACATCTGTCTTACTTATTTTCGCTTTCATTGTAGTTTATGGCAAACATTCACGCAGGCATCACTGCTAAAGCAGGAAATGGATTCAACCCTGATCTAGAAGTCATTGAAGACATGAGCAAAGCACATTTGAGTTCGCACTACAACTCGGATGCACTATTCGGGACGGTCATGGTTCCTCCCTCGTTGATTAAAGAACCAGAAGAAGGCGACAGGGTGCAAATAGACAAAGTACGAAAGGCATATTATACTCCTCCGGAAACAGGTATTCCAGTAGAAGTTGCTTTGAAATCTCAGTCTATTGGAATGGGCGACGAAACCAGGAATAAAGAATTGATCAGTCAAGTGATTATTTACAAGAGATTTAAACTAAATGAGAACATAATCAAGTTCTATGGACTGGTCTCATTGGATAATGGGCTTCATCTCGTGACAGAATGGGCGGACCTTGGAACATTAAGAGAAGCATACACAGCTGATCCTGATGCTTTTACTTGGAATATAAAGACATCTATTGCTATTGAAATCCTGAGAGCATTAACATTCTTGCATTCCATTTCAATTTATCATCATGACGTTCGGTCTGCAAATGTGTTGATCACCGACAAATATTCTGCTAAAATCCAAAACTTCAGTTACGGGTATGTATCGATAATTTATTGTCACAACTGACAGTTATTCAAATTGGGCAGGAAGGCTGTGTGGTAATTACTTAACTTTATAATTTTGTAGTCGTACGTTTTATGGTCCGACTTCATCAATGGAGAACACACTAGAGAAAGCGCGGTATATGGCCCCCGAGAAAATAAACGACCCAAGACTCAATTACAACATGAAATGCGAGATATACAGGTGGGTAGATACCATTGTCGTTTGCATAACAATCAATTTATGTTAACTTACTTGTTTCTAGTTTCGGCATGCTTCTTTGGGAAATTGCTGAACTTAAAGAGCCTTATCATAAAATCAGTGATTTCCTCGAAGTGAGTGAAATCGTCGCCAAAAACACGGGCAAAATTGTGTTCGGAGAGACTGTTCCACCTGAATGGAAGAAGGCCACTCTCTCAGGTTTTTGTCTAGAATATCTGAAATTTCTACACCTGAAATTCGTTCACTCGCTCATCTTTATCTCCTTTTTCTTCGCCAGCTACAAGCTTTTCCCCAGGAATGCGTCCGCCTTTGAGTGAACTTTTCACAACTTTCTTCAACCTAATGAAGAAACTCAAGCCACCAGCTTCTCCACGGCCAACATTTTCCTCACAAAGAACATCCTCATCTGGAAATGAACTTTTTGTAACGAGCACGGAACCTGACTCAATAGACTGTATTGATGATGATTTCGAATTAGATGGATTGGCTAAAATCGCACAAGTGATGTCTATCGAAGATGCTATTAAACAACACAAAATATCAGGAGGAGACCGAAAAATGGCGTTTGAAGCGTTTAAGGTGCACGCTGAGTGGGAAGATATGACAGCGAAGTATTACTACGGTTACTATCTACATTACAACCTTCTCCAAGAAACTGAGACTGATGAACAAAAAGAAGCAAGACTGAAAAAGGCCGCCGAATTGTTCAAAGAGACTGCCGATCACGGAATGGCTGATGCTCAATTGATATACGGACATTGTCTATGGAATTCTACTGGAGTTAAAGGAAATAAATTAGAGGCAGTTAAGTATTTTGAGTTAGCCGCTGAACAAAAGAATATCACTGCTATGTACAATATAGGTAAGCTTTATTATCAAGGATCGCTCCCTGGTAGAGGCGATAAGACGAAAGGAGAGCAGTATTTGAAATCTGCTGCGCTCAATGGACATGATAAGGCTAAAGAGTTTTGTGCAAAATGTAATATTACTTTCGCGGACAATTAGTTGCTATATTGTAGGTTTAACAAAAGTTCCATGTATTTTTGTAATTATTTATTGTCATTATAAAAACGGTTTGTTTCCAAAAATAACGCCCGGGGAGTTCTTACGTTCACAGTATTTCCGAAACGCATTCCCGTACATGGAATGCGAATATTGATCAGTCGAACCTCGTTATACATCACTCCCTCCTTTAGTAAAATCGCGTTATTATTATGCCGCTATCAATGATTTCTACGTAGTAATAGGTATCTATTGCTTTATTCCGGTTTCCAGCACATTAAATAACTTTGATATGCCAAAGATCGATCAGCTTCCTTCCTTCTTCGTTTCGATACAAGATGCTTCTTCAATTTCATCAAAGAGCGTAATCGCTCATCTACAACTTCTATAATTGAGAAAACGAAAACAGGTGGCTTTCCTTCGGTTATTTCAGTTAATAGTGCGATGCTTTCAAATTAAACCAATTAAGGGCAGCTTGATGCCCCGATCAAATTTGGAAAATCGATGATAAAAATGGAAGTTATTTGGGCATCAAGGGGCATCCCTAAATTGGAAATTGTTTATTTTTCATATGAACACCAGACATCGATGTGATGTGACGAGAGTAATACATGGGATACATCAAGAAATCTTTTTTTTTTTCATATTCATTGCAATGCCTAAGAAGCAAAAAAACCTCGGATCCTAAACATCCGCAACGTATGCGGGTTTGATAATGTTGGAGGGTGTCCAGAATGGCTTCAATAAATCGTTTAGTAGAATGTGCGACTGATCCTTGGCTAACACCAAACATTTGTTCTAGTTGGCGATATCCCAGAGGATTTGCTAATCGTTGAATCACAATGCCAACTTGAATTTCAATAGGAGTTAAATAGTTAGGATGTTGCTGTAGGGTGCTAAGCAGTCGATTGAACGTAGATCGCAAAAATGCGAAAATGAGATTTAAAAACTATTATACCCGCTCTCTCGTCATTAATTGTTTTTGGCCGAAGTAAACGAGGTGTACGATTAATCCTTGACATTGAATCAAACAGAAATTAAAATTCTAATTCTATATCAATTAAATTCTTATTTAGATTTTATTACTTCTGTTACTATGAAGGCAATAAGCCTTTTCCGGCTGATAGATAACATTATCATTAACAGTATAACAGTCTCATACGGGAGGGCGTTATTTATGCGCGTTATGCGCGTATGCTTAATGTCACATATGAATTTTATCACATTTATCCGCATAACGATAAAGGTAAATATGGTATTACTCTATTTAGAAAGCTGATGCCCCTATTTTGACGACTTCCAAATATTGAGAAGGCCCTAAATTAATCAAGTTTTATTTCTCTTTAACTCGTTCTCGCAACAATTAAAAGGCTATGAACAATAGAAGTATGATTAGTAAAAAACTGCAATAAAGCGGGTTTCTCTAACGGGTGTTCAAAAAAGAGATTTGTGTTTAAAAAAGAAAGCTCAACCTAATTTGACTCAAGCGGCGCTTGCTAAACTGTATGGAATTAAAGAAAAATACCGGTGTCTCTATACCATTCTCAAAAATTCATCGTACTGGCTGACTCTAGATGAAGGTTTTTCTTTAACGAAGAGGAAACGCGAACGAATTGCCGCATATCCTGTAATCGAAGAAGCTCTGTATACGTGGTTAGAACACGCAAATCAAGTTCCCCAAGTCATATCTGGTCATATTTTGAGCGAAAGCTCGAGCTTTAAAACGCGTTATATCTTCGGGCGTACAACCAACTCCATCCAGAACATACCACTCAGAACTTATTATCCATCCACAACACATACACCGTACAATGCAAATGATTAGACACCAAAAAAAGAGCACCTTTAGCGTTCAATCGTAGGTGCAACTAATAAAGGAACGCAAAACTGATCTTGGAAGAATTACTGAGAATTACCAGTTAGAAGACATCTACAATTGTGATGAGACCGCATTGTATTGGCAACTTCCAAATCTATTGCCTTCTGGGATCAAAAGTCAAAACAACGTTCTTATTGACCGTTAACGCTACCGGAAGTCATGAATTAAAACCGTTAATTGGCAAACTCCACGTTCGCTGAAAAATATCGATAAAACGTCTCTGCCTGTTTACTATTTTGGGAATAAAAATGCCTGGATGCAACAAAAACCTTAACAGTATGATGCAACATAGTCGAAAACCTACGATCTTGCGACCCGACTTACTATCGCAGAAGCAATTATATTGGCTGCAAAAGCGCGTGGTATAACGTTAATATTAACACAATCCAGAACAGACTCGAATACTGTCACAATCCAACATGGATCGATAATGACATGAATGCTTTAATTTTAACGAGTTGCCAACGGCGCGCTAATATTCAACATGTAATTGACCAATTACTTATTTCGGATCCTTTAATAGCCGATCAATGATAATGAGCTCGATCATCCCATTGACGAAGAGATAATCGAAATGATAAAGTATTCTGACGAACCCGATGAACCTGACGAGCCCGAAGAACAGTTTCCTATTGTCAAAAGCAGGAAGCAGTTCACGGAGTAGACGTAATTCCTAATTACATTAGACAGCAAACCAAGAGTTTGTTATCACAAACGAATTTAAAACGTTGTTAAGTATAAAGAAAAAAACGCTTTTACATTCAATTAATGCGAAGCGACAGCACCTTAGATCCTTTTCTAAGATAGAATAGTTGTACATAGTGAAATTCACTTTAACGAAGACATTCGTTCCACGATTTTGCTTCGTTAACCTGAAAGTTCGCTTAAGTGAACTGTCTTTTTATATGAAATATATGAATCCGTTCTGGAAAGAACTTCGTTATAAAGCGATCTCGTTAAAGTGAGACTTCGTTAAAGTGAATTTTACTGTGTATATAATAAAAGAAATTTTCGCTTGATATAATGATGTTTCACGTGACTCGAATATGATCTAACGAACTTTCGAAATATTTTTCGCCGTGTATAAGATGTACAAGTATCACAAAACGATGTACAACAGCCGCTCATGTGTGCCTTCAAAATTTTGAATTCGGTTGAGCCAATAATGTCATAAATAATGTGCATTTATTTGAATTCTATCATAATGCTCATCATTCACAATGCTATCTACACGTGTAGGGGAAAGTCTATTTCTGCTCCATAACGTCTACGAAATTAAGGAGAGGGTTGTGGAGATGATTTAAGCGTTGTTGTTACAAATGGATGAACCTGCAGTACATTAGCAGGTGGTCTGTTGATATGATCAGCTTCAAAAGTCAAACGCAAAAAGTCCGTTGCATCATGTGATATATTATCCGGTATTTCTGGGGCACACGATAATCCAATCTTTAGACAAAGTAAAAACATAGTTAGATGGAATATGCAAGTGGATTCACGTATATACTTGATTTCTAATTAACTGAGATTATTTGCTTTCAAGATACCTTGAACATTGCCTGCATCTGATCATAACTAGGGAATGGATGGTCACCAGTAAACATTTCGACAATCAGACACCCGAGTGACCATATGTCTGCTTTGGTCGTATAATGTGTCTGCTTTACGATTTCTGGTGCCATCCAAAACACCGAACCCTGAAGCGATGGACGATGTGCCGATGTAGCCGCCATGAATTCTAACGAAATGAAATATAAAATGTCAGTGAAAATGAACATTCATTATCAACATTCTTACTGTAATCTTCTCACCATCTTCAACTTTCTTGGATATTCCAAAGTCTGAAATCTTAATTCCTCCCTTATTATCAACAAGTATATTGGCACCCTTTATATCTCTATGAATTATATCTCGTTCATGTAGATAATTCAATCCTGTCAATATCTGTCGGACGAATGACCGTACAAGTGTTTCCTCCTGTGGACCATAGTTTCTCAGCATGGAGGATACTGAACCACCCGGAACGTATTCTAAGAAAATGTTGAGACTCTTTTCATCGTGTTGCGAGCCTAATTACAGAATGATGTGTTAGCTTTCGTCATGCATATTTCGAACAAAAAAGACGTTCAATATAAATGGTCGTTTTACCAAGGTATCGGACAATATTCTCATGATCCAGCTCTTTCAGCAGTGTAATTTCTCTTTGTAATGCATCCAACTGTCGTATTATGAAAGAAAAAAGTTTAGAAATGAAAATGAAAACAGAAAATTGGCCGAAATATTCATATATATACCATTGATTTCTTTCTGTTTTCATTTGCAGATTGTCCGGTTGGTAATTCGACTTGCTTTACAGCCATCAGTTCTCCGGTTGCAGAATTCAAGCCGAGATACACGTTGCCAAAGGAACCTGATCCAATAAGTGCTCCTTTGATCCACCTGAAAGGAGTTAGATCCGATGTATCTGTAAAACAACAATGTAATATAAGTGAATCAGCCAAGACATCATAAGGTAGTCAAACACTGCATTCGGGCTTATGCTCCATGTTCGCTGGCTGTGACATTCTAGTCTCTCAACTCACCAGTACTATCAGTATCGGCATCTGGATTCCAACTCTCCTCAACTTCCTCATCTTCCATAACCTGAAACTCGTTGTTACGCTCTTCTTCAAGTATAGGCAGTTCATGACACGAACAATCATCACCTTGCACAGACGGCACTAGAGTAAATGACGATGATGACGAGGATAATGACTCATTCTCATATAATCTAGAAACAGTCCTCGATTTTGGTCTCGACGGTCCTGACGGCCTCGAAGCCCTCCTCATCGACATTCTATGACTTCTTTCCAACTCTTCACTATTATGTCCGGGAAAATATTCTGTGAGATTCAATGAAATCAATTCTGATGGTGGTCGCTGACCGAAAAAGTTTCTGAGTTTCTTCTGGGAGAACCCTTGTGGCGTTGTTGGAACTTTTTCTCCAAAGAAACGTTGTAGTTTGCGGTTTTGTCGGATGCGCATATAATCTTCATGACTCAGATGTTGATGAATTTTACGCAGGACTAGGCGGTTGCGCTCAGGCCTGTCAGGATCACGGCAGATTTCTACTAGTTCATCATCTTTTAACTTGTGGGCTAGTTAAAATTAAAAGGATCAAGTTGGAAAATTATATTAATGGGTTTGAAAGAAGGCTAAAAAAGATTTGCGCTTACCAGCTTCGGAATGCGTATCTGAAACAAATAGAGAATATTTCTCAACTTCATCTGTGATGTTAAATTTTGTTAATACTTTGGCGAATATAGACTTGGCATCATTCGCATTTTGTATATTTATTGTTTTTGTTTGACTCTCGCTGATAACTTTTATAAAATGCTAATATATTTTTAGAGAGAATCATCAGTATTTTCGCCAGTCGTAATAATAGGTATCATAAAACATCATAACTTACCTGCTTTAAATTATCATTTGCAGCTCCTCCGTCATTAGAAGACTGTCAATAATGTGTTGGTATGTGAATATAGAACTATTTTGCCACAAATTTCTTTCCGAAAGAAAAGGAAAAACAAAACAACCAGTCCATACATTATTCATCTTTAGAAAACTCAAGCCCTTAGACTGCAGCAAGGCCTCCCAAACTTTGTTGGACTGTGGCGACTTTGGTGTATTTGGTGTTCTTGGTGATCCTGCCGAATTGCTTCTCTTCAAAGACTTGCTCGACACTGTACTCGACAACGAGCTAGACCTGGCAAGCGGTACTACCGGAAACGACAATGCCTCCGGCGTATAACATAAATCCTAGATTTCATAAAAATGAGAGATTAGAAGCTTCTTGACAAACAAACAATAATTTGTGATTAAACTGTCTGACTGTTAGTATTATAAATTGCCTTAGACTGACGCCGTGCAACGTTTTTGAGAAATTTGAGTCGGAACTTTGGTATTTTCTTGTCACTTGTAGGAGATGGCGGATCGTCCTGCGTTCTCTTGCGTCAATCTCTAAAGCATACAGGACTAACATTCTTAAGCATCAATATGTGTGGAAGATTTACCTTGTATGGATTATGGACGTTGGCTGAGCATGCTTTAAGTAGCATACGAACAGCAGCTAATAATCGAATTCTATCTCCAATCGACCGTATTTGAAGTTCTTTTAATATTTGGTGGTCGAGTTCGAGCAGGACGTCGCCGTTGATGTCATTTTCTATCTTGACAATGGTACGTTAGTTTGACGCAAGATTATTACTGGATATTGCATATAACAAAGGATGCTGACCAGCAAATAACCTCTCATATTCCTTGAAATTATTCTCTTGTAGCCAGTGAGAGACTTGTTCCCATGTCCAGTGTCTGACTTTTTCGAATGTGAGTTTATTGTCTACTATTGGAGAAGTCGGAGCAGACTGTGTTGCGAGACGTAGTTGTACCATTATTAACAAGTATATAAAACAAAGCTGGCAATAAAACGGATACTGCTAAAATGTTGATTGCTGGAAGCAGTATCTTTTTCAAACCAACTGTTTATTTAGAAATAAAAAGTCTTCTGTAATATTTATATATACACACACACGGAGTGTAAAAGACAACTCTAAAAGTGCGGGAATGAAACGGCATGGTTATTTAATGTATGTGCATATAATAGTGAATATTCTATTTGTCACATCAAGTCACTAATCGAGCTTCTTATTTTTAGCTTGGGCGGAGATGATTATAATTAAATTGTATTCTTTTAGATCCGAAATGGCAGTTGATATACTGTTGTGGTGACCAATGGGAAATTTTTCTCGACTCGACTTATCACTCTGGGCAGTGTGGGAATTGAGCAATCCGCTTGACAATGCAAACGAGACAATTCCAGAGCGAGTGCCCTTAAATGATTCACCATAAACAGGTACGGTGATATCGTTTACTGCCAGTGTCTAGTCATTTACAACGATCAAACAGCATAAGCAGGCACCACGGTTTGAATGCAAATCAGTGCCGTCTATAACGATCCACCAATTGTTCATTGTAACCTATATTCAATATAATTTCTACAAGCATATGTTAAAAATGATACGCCCACTTCGGATTTAGCCCGAAATATATACACCTTGTCCTCCCTACATGCATGATAAGCCATTATCACGTGGACGAAGACTTGGCAGTGTTTCAATCTCGCATTGCTCATTGACTATACAAGCTCTCGTTAATAGAAACGGCTAATGCTAAAGCGTTTTCAGGTGTTTGGACACGATTTTTATCCAAAAAAAGAACATTTTAATTAAATAAAGTATGAATTGTTTTTCTTTACAGGTTGTTAATTTCCTAATTAAGCCAAGCGAACCAGTAAACATGCACAGATTTCCCAAGTTGCACCTTATTATTATTTTCCACTATACTGTAATAATTAGCTGATGAGTAATAATCACAATCTTGTATCAGATTAAATTACTCGTATCTCTGAAGAGAAACGAAGTGAATAATCAAGATTCAACCCAAAATACGAATCATGTATAAAATATGAGTTATCCCCTTACTTATTACTAACAGGAATCCTTTTTATGATTTTCAATCTACACTGTATAAAGCCAAAGATCTAGTTTTCAAACCATTTGGCAGATAATAACTTTATGACAACGTATTGGTAAAATCAATGACTTTCTAACTAAATCTAATAACAGTACAATCTTCTCCCAAAAAGATCGAGTTACATCTACCACCACATCTCATAGGCCCATACAGAATTCTTCCTGTCATCCAGATTCCTAAGGTTCAATGGCTCCTTTCCTACCCATTTATCTTCCAATCGCAGCTGCTTCCATTTGAATTTGAATTCTACCTCGGCCATCTCAAAGAATTTCTTGGCTACATGACTTCCGATTTTATTATAACCGATGCATTAGCGTTTATTATAAATATGACTTGTAAATTCAATTTAATATCTCTTACATATTTGTCATTTTACCTTTTTGTATGATCACCACACATGATATGAATTCTACCATTTTGACTCAAACACGTTTGACAAGTGGTTAAGATATTATAGTGTTCGTCTTTAAGCCACAAAAGATCACAAAGAAATATCTTGTCAAAAGGTTTGGGTGATAAGTCGTGATCATTCCCTGTCAAACTAAGAATCGTTCGTTTAATTAAAATCCACAAAATTGAGAGCATCTATATATACTTACAGAAGCTCTTCTGGATTTTCTCCCCATATGTGTCCTTTTACTATAATCTTACTCGACATCTCATTTGTCAGGTTCCTTTCACAATTTCTCATTATTGGGTCTATTATAGTTGAATCGGGATAATCTGTGCAGACAACCTATATAATTAATGGCATAACTGGGTTACGTGAGAGAATGAAACGAAGTTTTTAAGTTTAATCAATAAACCCACCTCCGTTGCACCTTTCAAAACCGAATATAGCGAAGGTAAGGCTGCTCCGGCACCCAATTCTAAGACTAGCAACGCTTAAATTAGATTGAATCGATTTCTATATCTGATCTATAATTTCTTACCTCTGCACCCTCTGATATCAACTTTTCCACACTCCATCTGCTCACACATGACTAGTGAGGAATTAAATATTGCATCCGCTAATAATGTTGCCGCTTTACCCTCTTTTCCAGCTGCTTCTACTTCCAATTGTCCATACTTTACGGTATTATAATATGGAACTATATCCTTGTCTATACCGAAGAGTGATTCTGACGCTTCTCCCATAAAATCGACATCTTCCTGCATTTTGAACAAAAGACATCAAAGATGTAACATTGACCGCTTTTGAAAAGGAATTTGATGCGGTAAGGATCAACATTGCATACATTCTCGCATCGTAAAGAATAGCTCTCGTACCTCAACAACTATTACTATCCCAACATTCTCTAACATTGTTAGTTGATTTTAACGGAACATTCATCTTACAATCCGATATAAGCACTCTGTCTGTATAATCATGACGTGATCGCTCACATAGATATCTCACATGTCTCGCGTACAGTTATTGATTTTCTTGTTTGTTTTTATTATTCTGTTAACATACTTATATCCTTTTTATGAGGATATATATTAAGTATATAATTATTTTACTGCCAATGTTGAGGGTCAGAAAAAGCTAGCAATGTTTGTTGAAAGATTAAGACTTAATATTAATAAAAACAAGGACAAATTACAAGTGATAAACGGTGGAGGGGATTTTATTCTAAATATTTTATTAATTGCTAGTTGTGGGCAATTAATGTCTTTAAATTCATCTCTGACCCAATGCATGAAATGTCTTGGTACAGATATTGTAATCCAAAGGAGGACGGGTTATTGCTAAGATTAAAAAAATTTTTAATTTCTTTGGTAACATTTTAATTTGCTTTTCTACTTTTTAACAAATTAAAAATTCGGATAATATATAGTAATAGGTATTATTAACAACCAGCTGGGCTTTGACAACTCCAAGGATTGGCTGTTTTAAAGAGAAACTGCCAATATTTTTGTAAACCACTCAATTTCTTAAAGAAATCCTAACACCGAGTTGAGATCTACCAACCATCCTTTCCGATTGCATGTTTAAAACAGCTCCCCTTGTTTGCTTCTTTTCCAAGAGGTCTCTGGCAACAAATACCCTTGCACCAGCAAGGTTTCGTGGTATAAACATTCAATTCCTAGGGACTTTCATTAGTCCCTTTTGCTAGAAGTCGGCCTTGCCTTGACAATTCTTTTGGTCGCGTTTTTTCTGTATAAGTATTGAAAGCCCTTTTGGTATTGTTGTACGAGGTGTATTATTAAGAACATTTCTGGGATTTCATCGATAATCGTTCGTACAACTGATTAAGCTCTCGACGTTGTAACTCGAATAAGTTCAGCATATCTGATATGCCGAAAGCTACGGTATAATCTAGATGATCGATAGCCATTTGATTTACGTCACTAAATATACGTCATATATCTGGTGTAATACATTTAAGTGATCATCTGACGAACCAATAACAACTATTACTATTAAGTTCGCTGTATAACATATTAATATAGAGGGAGGTGCTTATTTTCGGGGAGTGTTTATTTTCGGAACTATGATATTTTGCTATTGGTATTAAAAACTCCTCATATTTTACGGGAATATAATTATCCATTACCACATGAAGGATTTAATCAAGCCCCTATACATATATAGTTAAAGGGGTGCTTAGCTTACTTTCGGAATGTTTAGATCTTTTATTATGTGTCTGAGGTATAAAAAAAAATTTGGTATAAATAAACAGCGTATTGAATATTCAAGCTGATTTTCGCTATTATTATATATCGCGTAAAATGTCCGATACACGAAGTGCACTTTCTCCGAAAATAAACGGTTGCATATTAAGTGTGCATAACGAAATTATGCACTAAACTTTGTGATGACGATATTGCGTTAACTGTATATCTGGCTTCCAAAACGCGATTAGTTGTTTCACAATATGAGGTTGCTTATACATCTGTCTATGACAACAATTTGCTTCAAACAATACATGAATACAAGTAAGCTCAGCCCCTCCCCTTCAAATGCAAAAGAGCAATTATCAATTATAATATTGCATTGCGTGCCTGATTTAGGATTATATTGTGGATAATAATAATTATAATAATGTACTATGACGTTGAGACGAGAAGTCCGATTATGGATGGGATTGTATATAAACAACCGTTTTCTTTCTCTCCCTTTATTTATTCACTTTCTTCCTTAGCAATTACGTGATAAACCAATATTATTCAGCACAATGAATTACCTTATTATTATCGCCATTGCAATCTTGACGCTCCCGCTGGCATACCTTGCTTTTGACCTCACCGATTTGGCTCATATTCGCTGAGTACTGTTACTGTTTTAATGAATAAGCTGAACGCTAGTCGGTAAAAAATATTTATTGATACGAACTTTATTACAATCAGAATATGTATCACGCTTATCGTTCTAGGGTCGCAAATATTATCCTATGATACGAGTAAAAGTCACGAAGGCCAAGGTTAAGGAAGCAGTTACAAGAAATTTATTAGCCATCTTTCTACGAACAGTATCTAACATAGTAAATATTATTTAGAGTCCTTCCCCAGACTGTCAGATTCTCTCAGAAAAATCTTCCCTGATGCATCTAAAAATCTTATCAAAAAATACGAAAATCAACTCGCCGACGTGGAAGAGCTCGATCCCGTCCTCATAATAACACCAAACATGGCGTGGATAAACCAGTACGGTTGGCCTGCGTATTATGCGGTGATGGATTTATTTGCTACGCATGGTCTTGCCCAAAACCGACGCAGGGACAAAGATTCACGTTGTCTGTTCCACTTTCGAGAAATTTGTGACTTGTTTGAGGTTCGTGATGGAATCAAAAACAACCGCTTGGCACCAGCAGCTTTTAGCGTACAGCCTAGTCTTCATACAGCTTTCCCAAACGCTCAACTGGAACCGATTGGAAAAGCATGGATCCTAACAAAGATTGGATCCTAACGAAGATTGGATCCTTATTCAGTGATTATGGACATGATTCTGCATTTTTTAACGTCTGAAAGTGAACTTTGATCCGAATGGGGCAACTATACCAGTAATTTGAAGACTTTTCTGCAGAGTCATTATATCGAACATATTGAACATGTCAAACTCAGATAGTTACCTTTGTTGGGGATCACCTTCATCAACATCGAAGACGAACCTATCACTAGATTGTTTCATTCATAAATGCATTAATTTTATTTTCTCAATGAGTGGTAATATTCCTGTTTGTAGCTATGTAACTATGACATATTCGAACAATTAACTATGTTGATATCGAAGTATCACTGATGGCATTGTTGAAAATTAACAATTTCGATATACCGTATCTGCGAACCATTATTATTTAGAACATTCGCAAGCGGTTATTTACTGGGACTAATTATTTGCATTCCTTACCTCATCTAATATAATTTTAACAAGATTTTTTCTTAGATCAACTATAGATTATGTTCATTTTGTCGAGTTAATTACCACGGAATTGGCAATTAACCTTGATATTTGACTTCTCTTAAATTGGGTTTTCTATACAACTTTTACGTTCGGTCTTGTATACGCAGAATTAAAAAGTAGTGAATAAATGCCTCTACTCATATCGGTGGGATAAATTCGATGGTCTGTAGATATGATTGGGAAATGTTTATATCACGTTTATAGGCAACTAATATTTTTGCCAACTCAGAATTCGATCGCGGAATCTGCTATTTGCGCGCACAACTAAGGCGATGGAATACTGATTATATGTTAACCGATAAATATACTTTATTGAGTGTGGAGAGCTACTCCAACCGAAAAAGTGTGTGTGGATTATATGAATGATCTGATTCCATTGATAGATACTCGATCGACACTGTTAGCTAACGAAACTACACCTGCTCATATATGTTATGAACCGTTCTAGAATATCTCTTGCACCAATAAACTACAAAATTAAGTGATAATGTCGAAAAAATATGTGACAATCGAGTCGTAACATTGTTTCAATAATTTCTAAAATTAGGACTATTAAGTTATTCACTGTCTACATTATACAACTATTTTCGTTTCGCCAATGTCTGATGGTGGATATTTCGTCATTTATTAATGACAATTCTGCAGTTTCAATAATTTTTTATCCATTACTCTTGTGCGGTTTACCATCTTACACTTAAGTCAAAAATAGAAAGAGATTTCGGGCAGAAATATGGACAAAGCTTATAGCTGAACCGACCTGCCACAGCGAAACCTGAATCCCACAACGAATTAATTGAATTCATTTGTGACCATCTATCAGGTCCTCTTAGAAAAAGCGAATCTGTGCATTGGTTATAAATATTCAAGCACCATGATTATGAATGACCAACGTCATCGGGGGCTTTGTGATTAGGATTTTAAGGGATCATGTGCTTTATGCCATTCTCCCATAGTAATAGTTTAAGAGTCAGATGTTGAAATACAAGCTGAATTCGGAAACAATTGCTCACACGGGATAATTCGAACCCCGTGTAAATTTGACCCCCTGGAATTCTTCTTATACCGACTCTTGTACTTGGTTAAAATATGTCCACTTTCAACGATGGAAAGACGTCAACGCTTCTTGGATTAGGAAAACCTTTTAATATTGACAGTATAAGTCACGACGTTCGTCGTAATTTAGCGAAGGTTGACCCTCGCCTACCCGAAGAAATCAAAAATGTGACCCTATTGTTAAAAGAAGAGAAAAACGTTCTTTCCAGTTTACAGAATACCGCGCTGGAAAGGAAGCAAGGTAAATATGGAAACGCAGATATGAACACGGTGTCATGTTATTATGTTTACTTTGAATTGATAAGACCGATTTTTTGTTTTTCAATTTTGTCTAGTGGGAGAGCATTTGCAGAACTGGGGCAAGGGGAATTCAGAGGATATTGCCGTAAGTGTTTGCGTTTATAAAAATTAATTGTCTTCCTGTCGATTCTACGTCTGACAGTTGTTTATTGTATACGAAGGATATAACCGAAAAGATGGCAAATATCATATCAAGCATGTCGGATATTGACACAGTGCTATCTGGTAATATTGGTGTTCTTACATAGCGTGCATCGTTTTATAGCCATTAAAGTCTATGCTGTATCGTGTACATTTTTATGATATTGTTATTTCACATAGACTACGTATAGTATTATTTATTAGAATTTTTCGTGAATTACATTTTATAGTGTGCTGTTCAATTTCTTACCTATTAATACAATATGTTAATAGAAAAGTATGGTCGGTACAGAAATTGTCTGAAAGAGATTCGTGATGCAGAGCAGCGTCTTCATGGCTCGAAAGAGAAGCGACACAAAATCCACGAAGAGAAATCAAAACTCGGCAAATCAAGATCTGCAAGAGCCCAGGAATTAGAAGATGAATGGCAACAAGTCAATCGCGAACATACAACTAACGAGATGGAAGTTAACAATATTAGGCGAAGGAAGCTGAAGGAAGCATTCTCTCTGCATATGGATTCGATATTTGAAGCGGCCGAACGTATGGCTATAATTGCTGGGTTTGGCTGGGAGCTCATTGGCCAGTTTGACGCTACCCCTGACTCGCCTGGCTCGACAAGACCAAAATATACTGGTATGTATTCGGACGAGAGAAGTATGATTTATGTCTTAATTCTTTGTATCATTACATAAAAATGGCCAGATCTTTAATTTTATACGTTTTAGATTGAATTCTTGATATTCTGTTATTTATTAATTAATTATATAAGCTATCCCAGTTGTTCATTAAACATTATTATTGGACTTAATTGTTTTAGGTGATAAGGATACATCACAAATTGTCAGAGATTGCCAGATCCAATTGCATCGATGGCAACCACCTGCAACAGGCATTAGACCCCTCCTGCCTGCATTGACAAACACAGCTCCGGCACAGTTAGCTGATCAGAAACGCGAATATGAAACCAAATTAAATCATCTCTACTCACAAATGGCATCTCAACGTGGAGCTTGTGAGAAGCAAGTTAGTGAACTCACAAATGAATTAAGGCAAGCTGAAGAAAAGACTTCGGTACTGGTCAAAGATAATACGCAAGAGCTAGCAAATAAGGAACAGGGACTAGAGAACCAGAAACAGGATCTGGAGAACCAGAAACATGAACTAGAGAACCAGAAACATGAACTAGAGAACCAGAAACGAGAATTAGAAAACCAGAAACGAGAATTAGAAAACCAGAAACAAGAATTAGAGAATCAGAAGCTAGAATATAAAGCTCAGTTGGACGGTTTGTCTAGTGAATCGCATTTGCAAAGAGAAGTGTATGAGAAGCAGATTAATGAATTGAATGATAAATTGCTTGATGTACAAAAGAAACTTGAGCAACGTATATTGGAACTTGAAGACTCTTTAGCAAGTGAGACACGAAAGAATGAAGAGTTGCTAAAAGAAAACCAAGTATTATTGAACCAGAAACAGGATCACGACATACAATCGCAAGAACACGACAATAATGTTGCTAGGCTTCAGAATGAGATGACTGCCGTTGCAAGCGAGAAAGGCAAGTTGTCTCAGGTTATTAAAGATCTTGAGGAGGCATTGCAATCAAAAACGTCAGAATTATCACAAAAGGAAGAAAAGATAAGCAAGTTGGAAGAAGATATTTCGAGTATTAAATCCGAGATCGCTGGATTGAAAACAGTCCCATCTGACGCGTCAACTGGTGTCACTTCTTCGCAATCTTCTATTGTTGCCTCTACAGTAGAAATTTCAACACCAGTGAATCCACAGGTTCCACCAATTGGTGGGCTGTATCAGCATAATTTATATAACCCACAGGGACAAGGTTATTATGGACCACAAGCATATCAAATGCAACAGCCATTCCATAATCCACAAGAGTATTATAGTCAGTCTGGTCAGCCAAGTCAACCCTCATTTGCACAGCCTAGCTCGAGTCAAGGGCATCTATCCAATCCCCCATCGCAACCATTTGTAGGTGGATTCTTGTTTGGAACTCCTGGTGAAGCCCCTCCTGCTTATGAGCCTCCCAAAGATGGTCAAGGGGGTGCGGGAAAAAGCTGATTAGCCTTTGATATAATTAGCATAATGACTTTTATCCTAGCGATGTTTAAATCTACTTGTCACATGTATATTATGACTGTTATCTGTATTATACACAAGTTCTACAACACATACATACACAAATATTTATTAGTCTTTGTTGCATGCATAAGGATTCTTGATGCGACAGAGAAAACGCCATTCATGTAAAACTTTTAATATTAATTAAAAGCCTCTTTCAATACGGGGTGACTTTGAGCATCGTTCCATTGAATAAATAGTAAAGATTATACAGCCTTATGGTGATCGTCATCTATTACAAGCCGGTAGGGGAGACGTTTTTATCGTATTTACCAAATTTCCGATAATAACACAACCAATGTCCCGATCTTTTGGCAGCCAAACTTTCGTTTGTTTGGTAAGATATATGATCGCTTCTCCAACAGTTGGTGTGTTGGATGACCAAAATCGGCGAAACCATTGTTCACATTCTCCTTTGCCTTGCGTACTGGCTGGGATAACAAGACTTCATGTTCATGTTGAGAAAGTATATCGGCACCATCCACTTTGAACATGTTCTGAATTCCTTTTTGTCATACTTCATGGTGTTTTTTATTGACTGGAATTCGAACTGGCCAAGGCACTTTTATGTTTAATTTTCTGTTCCCAGGCAAGTTTTGCCTGTTCTGTGGAATTGCATGTGAATCTTGGCATGGAATTTTTGCAGTTTTTGCGGGGGGACATTACTACGGTTCTATAATTCACTTAATAGTAATAGAAAACCTTTTGTTTAAAGAATCCGGTCATTGCTCTAACCACATTAGAGAGTACCATGTTTCGAAATATTTCCAAAGACACCTTAAGAAAAAAAACGACCCACTAGCACTCTAGTACCTCGGCACGCGTGTTTGCCTCAAACGTCGATGCAGAAAAACCATTTGCCCACGGAGAAGAATATCTTCTTTTTTTCTAAACTTTCTTTCACTTCTTCTAAGAATTTATTAATTATTTAGACTTCACATCCTTTTTTAAACATCACAAGTATATCGAGTCCTGTTGTTTTTGTTATAATAGATGACACCAAGGCCTTACATAAAATGGCAATACGATATATGGCGTTAAAATCGAAAAACATGTGCCTAGAGTTTATTTACTTTTAGACGCGTTTGGAAACCAAATAGATACCACGTATACGAAGATGGATATGTTGAGATGGGAAAATAACCCTTTCTTTACGTGTTGATTGTTCTTCAACCAGATTTTTAGCTCAATAGTTGAAACGATCGAAAATTCAGGTCACGTTTGTATAAATTTCACTGCGAATTGAATTCTATTGAATAATATTGGAGAGCAGCCAAACGATATGCACGAAATAATGTGTAATTACACATGGAGTGGATTATAAGAAACAGTTCCTCGTGCTGTTAATTTAGTAACAATCCGTAGATTTGCGTGAATTACGAACAAATTAAAAAAACACAGATCGGCGCCAAATATTCTCTTCCTCTGCATGTACTGTAGATAGATAAAAACAGCTCAAACTGGGCTTTAGCGAGCACCTTGTTGTGAATAAAAGTCCCTCGCGTCATACCAAAATTGAATATGTAGATCATTTGACTCCCGTGAAGAATCATTTCAAGCTGTAAGTATGAACACAGTTCAATCTATCATCTGCTCTTGTTATGCATTAGGTAATACACTTGTTGCTTAATTCCAGGTTCACCTGATTTAGACTTTAAAAGGTCTTTTCTTCTAATTTTACGATTCTTCATCTACTTGTGATTTAAATTAGCTCTATATCGTTGAAGTGAATGAGTACAAGGTCTTGAGAGCGGAGAGTCGCTTCATTATAATCTTTCCTACGAACTAAGTTCATCAAATTCACCTATTACAAACGAAAATAAAAAGGATCCAGTCCTTAGAATAAATCAACGCTTCTCAGCAATCAATCTCGGCTGCACAGATTAAGATGTCAAATAGACACGTATTTAATATCAAAACATATCGATAGCAAAAAATTAGACTGGTTCACAAATGTCGTCATTTGAATGCTACTTAAAGTTATACCAAACATCACGTGATACGTACTAAAAGAAGATTACTCAATCGCTCAACTTCACTGACAATGCGGAAATGGGGAATCAACCATCCTCCAACAACGACGCCAATGTAAACAAGATATCATACATTAGGAACATTAGTGTTTCTCTCCTACCGACACCGTCGCAAATGACACCTCGATTTCTAATATAATTAAAGATGTCGATAACAAAATCGATCATTATATCTCACATCAACCTTAATTGTTAGTATTTATCACTATCACCCATGGAGCTCCCCAGCCAAAGTATGTGTTAAATTTGTTATCTGTTTCCACCAATCACAATATCAATATCCATCTCTAAAACATACTGCTCAACTCTATTTTCAATCCACTTCTTTACATGCTTAACTGCTTTTGAACTACCTTTCACAGTCTTCTTGACAGTGAAGCATTGTGCTTTGAATGTTAAAAATCGATCTTTAGGAACAACAAAATACAATTGAATCTTACCATCTGCTGCAAGTTTTTGCTTTAGCATTTGTAATCCATGCTGATTGATGCTATGAGATTTGCCAACAGTATCTTGGAACAGTACATATGGAGCAAGAATAGCATCAACAGACTCTTGATTTGAGGCTCTAAATCGACAATATTTTCCCATCTCAATCTCTTGAACATTGTTGACCCACTTTGTCTCCAATTTCCCAAAATTATGTTGCTGTTGTTGTTGCTGTTATCAAGCTTATGGATTCTAAATGGTTTTCCCTGAACAATTTCTCAGTGAGCAATGGACTCAAACACATGACTGCGCAAAGTTGCAAGTGGACTATAACTGTCTGCAGCTTTAACAAAAAGATAAAGTTCATTTTTATGAGACTCTTCAAGTTTTGCAATCATGTTATCAGCAACATACTCTGATGCAAATCGAAGAAATGCTTTTGAATAATATAAATCAATGCTATTTTCTCCTACTTTACTGTCATCTTCTTCATACATGAGGCCTCCCCCTTCTTCTTCTTTGCTGTTGGTGTATATTTGAACAATCTGATGACTAAATTCATTCCCACTTACTAAATCTCCCATGAAGTTCAGAATCTTGTGATCAGTTTTGTTGATAACTTCAGTGATCTTACTTTTCACAAAGTTGCTGGATTGATAAAAAACTGTTCTTGGTATACCACCACAAATATCGAAAATTTCTTGTAATACATCTTTGCTGAGATCAGAAAAAGCAGATTCGCGACACATTTCAAGTTCAGCAAAAGTCCACACTGGCATATAGAACTTGATGCAATAAACAGACTTCTGGAAGTTTTTAATGTACTCAATTCGTGGAGAAGATACCATGATAGTTTTTCCGACATTTTTGTCATGACTGACACGAGGCTGTTTACCATCAATAATGCACCATACCCCTGGTTGCTCCATCCGTGCAAGAAAGTCAATATTCGATTTAATCAACTCAAATGTAAATTCTTCGCATTTGTTTTTCACAAAAATAGTATATTCAAGGCTGTCAAATATAACCGAATGTCCTTTTTGCAGCAACAGCACAAACATATAGAGTCCGAAGAGCGTTTTTCCAATGCCTGGATTTCCTGTAATAAGATAGCGCCGGTATTTGTTGTCCTCCATGATAAACTTTTCAAAATGCCGATAGCACTTTCGAATGACAATTATCGTAGAGTTGGCTGGATCACCTGGAAGTATGGATAAAGTTATAGCGTTTTGACTCAAGTCTGCCTCCATTGCCTTCTTGACGAATTCCACCATCTTGGGGTACCAGTACTTTTCCGCTGAAGATGCTAATGCGATAAATAAAAAAATTGTTGATGACAATGAATATAAATTGTGAGTTTAGCGTGACAAACAGAATATAAAAATGGTTATGCTCTTTTCTAAAGACGAACATGTTATTTTCATTGACTATGAATGAAAAGGCCAACTCTAACTATAGTAACATTCTCCCAATAAATTCGCAATGTAAGAAAACCATATCACTATGTTATTCTACCCGATGTACACACACTACTTTATGTCCCCAGTGCCGAGTCACAAAGCGTGACATTTCCGGTGACTGTTATTACTCTACCCTATGTACACGCTACTCTATATCCCCAACGCCCGAATCACAAAGTCGTCACCTGCAGATGCACTGGATTTCTGCAGCAGTCCTCTCACAGTTATACTCCATTCTTCCGCCTGCCTCATCCAGTAGGCTTTATTCTCATCCTTGGTCTCCGCCATCTTCTTCTCCGCCTCTTCTAGCTTCTCCTTCGCATACTTTACGTCTTGTTCGCTGGTTGACATTTTTCAGGTGGTTTGGTTTCTGCGGAAAGATGCCTCACATACAGTCCCCGGCGAAAATAATGGCGTGTTGTCTAGAATTATTCAAATACGCGTAGCACTGTCAATCGCCCAATATAGACTAGTTTTGTTAACAAATCGGGTAATTGAGGTTACAAAAATAAAAGATAAACACATTATTATCATCTTTTGTCGTAAAATGTCTCCAAACCCTGTGAAAACAAACCGTTCCATTGTTAACTTACTTTGGCAGCAAAATATCCGTCCTCCAAAAGAAATTTCAAGCAAAACTGGTATCCCACTACGTACAGTAACGTGCAAAAGTATCCTACCGGTTGTATCATCTAAACGTACATAATAATAACTCCTTAAATTTTCCA